CACAAATAGTCAGGCTCAGTGGCGGTGCCAGATATAATCTTTGGGAGTGCTGTGGGGTAGCTTGACGTTTCATAGAGGGTGCTCAAACATTTAGGGTTTCCCATTAATGTACCGGTCGCTACAGTTGAATTTTCTACTGCAACAATCCCCACGTATATGCACAATTTATACCGCAACTGTTACCCCAAACTCGCTTGACGGAGACGTAAATTAAACGTATCTACTATCTTTCATGGTCTCTTATGTTGTCCACATTATATTTGCATGTCTGTAGGACCGTTGTGTAATTCCTACACGATAAAAGTGCGTAAATTCGGACGGATGAACGTGTACGTCTAAAGGATAAGTAATACTTTGCTACAACTGGTAATAGTATGTCCGCTGGGCGTGTTTGTATTGTCACATTAACAAAATAACAAAGTACATGAAGAACATTTAATAAAACTGTACCACCCCATACCTTTTGTATACAAAAATACGTCGATTTTTGTCCTGTTTACCCCCCAAAATGTCGGAGACACACACACACGCGGGCTCCGCACGTAGTAAAGGTATGAGGAACTTTTATAAAGAGAACCTAACACAAAGTATCGGTAACAAGACGGTTGGTGTGCGACCGTTGTTCTGTTCTCTTATTTATTGATGCTCAACGTATTGATACACAAGAAATACACGTGGTTTTGTCCAACCCACGAAACGACTCGTACCTTTGTATAAAATGATTTAAAACACCTTAAATTTTTGACGCAAAACGGGACAAAAAATCTGTCTACTTTTATCCTTTTGTCTGATTTTAGAGTTTAGTTTACACGAAAAGTCTGAAACTTTTCAGGACCCTTACCTAATATACAAAATTCTTTGCACTATACACAAAGAGAGAACCCCTTAAAGTTCTTTTCCATTTAATAGGCGTACTGTGGTTAACCGAGTATATAACACACAAACCCGAGTGCAGGTTGTACGACGAACCACGGTATCACTGGTCAACCGTCACAAAGGCACAAGCAGGTACAAAATACCACACACTACAAAATATATTTCGGGGACGAATTTTTTTGGCAAGGAGTTCCGTGTCAATAACGCCTCACTTTCACTCTATATTGAAGATTGCACTTACTTTTCTTGTATCTCCGTTTTGGTATTTTTACGACTATTTTACTAAAACAATTCTAACTCTGTTAATTCTGCGTTGTTTGTTATTTCGTATAATTAAGTGATGTTTCAGGCGTGTCTCTGTGACGAGTGCCATGATTTTCCAACAAGATTGTTTTACGTTTTCATGGTAAAAGACCTAAAATGGTTGGCCACTAGACAAACAAGCGTAAAACCAAATAGGTAACAGAGTTCTAAATGTTGAAGTAAAGAGGCGTAGAATTATATTTTTGAGTTACACAAACCACATTTGTTTTTTCATAATTCCGGGTGTAATACGTTGTACAAGAGTTAAAGGAACGTCTACATTCAAATTAGGACAAACGATTTTACGACCTCCTCTTTAATGTTACGCTTAGACATATTGCTATTTTGTCATTAACCGGGAAGGAAATAGCGGTACATATCTTTGGACCAGACAAAATACAAGTCGTCAATGTGAGTGTTATACAACTGCACAATTTTTCAGTCAGGGTAGCTACTTTACGTAGATTCTCAACCGTAAAATGTAAACGTCATGATGTAATTACGTCGTTTATTTACGAAGGTTTCTGTTTTTGTTGTTGTTTTCAACCCCATATGTTGCCCTCCTTTCAACACAAAACACCTTATTTTTGTGGTTATGACTCCGTACTACCAACTTTTTCTGTTTTTGTCGTATAATACGGACGGGAGTAATCGAGTGTCAATACCTGAAGGTATTACGTTTCCATAGTGGAGATAGTTCGAAAGGTGAGTTTTAACTTAACGAATACTACCGATCAGATTTGAATTTACTTACCTCCTTAATAGTAATAGTAAATAAACACGATTAAAATAAGGATATAATTAAACAATAACTCTCCTATGTCGTTTAACGGTCCTCACAAAGGAGTTCCGCGGGAGAAGTCTATAGTCGCGGTGTCGAGTTCGCGACGTCTACACAAAGTGGAGAACTAACCTCTGTCCTTTAACCGTCCAGACACAGCTGAGATTGATCATAAAATGAGTAGATCTCTTAGACCGTTTTAGGACAAAGTGTAAAAGAATCCACAAAAGTCCCACAAAGGGACTATGGACCACGGTCACTGGCGACACGACGTCCGACAGTGAAGACGTATTATGTTTAATCTCCGAGTCGTCCTCCCCGAGTCTACAAAGAGAGACTAAGCAAGAAAGAAACTAAAGTCCCTAACCGTCTCCCTTTACTTTCTAGAACGGTTTTTATTATTAAACTGACGTCAGCTTTTAGAATAAAAACCGATTTAAGAAAGTACCTCTACACGAACAGTACTGAGTCATTGTCAATCTTTAGGTAGGACGAGGCCCAACAGTCGGAAGTACGGAATAGACACTAGTGTCTCACTTTTTACAAAAATCGTCCAAAAGTATACTTTGTTTAAGAAAAAAAAAACCGGAGCCTCCTTTTTTCTAGAATCGGAACTGACCATAATTATAATCGGAAATATTACGGTGTAGACTAGGAGACTAAATAGGCAGGGTACCTTTTCGGACCAACTTAAATGTTAGATATTTTTGCGTTCTCATAGAAACGGTGAAAGTAGTATGTAGTAATCTGAAATTTTCCACAATATTATTTATTTATTTTCCGTTTGTTCACAATTTTGTATACGGCTTAGGAGGAGTCGGAGGTACAAACACAGCCAACATCTCCCAATCCAAGTTGGAATAATGAGGATATACCACTTTTCCGAGAGTTCCTACCACCTTCTTACCCAATAAATAATAAAAAAGATATAGGAAAAAAGTTCGTCTATTGTAATGACCGTATGATTTTTTTTTGGTTACTGTAGTACCCATCACTTCCCGTCCACAGGGTAGAAACGAGTGTCACTATTAAGAAGCAAGTAGGTGTTTCGTGACCGGAGCCCCTGCCTACCTTTGTGTCTATCTCTTGACACATCAGGAAAAATCCATTACCGAGGTCTCTTCGACGGGTGTAGTAAGTACCTACCACCAACCACGTGTCTAATTTCCGTCATTTATTGTATACAATGGATAGAGTATTCTCCCGAAGGTGTGAAATGAATATTCACGTTCTGTGTCTAACGCAAAGATTCACCACGTGGTAGGATTATCATACATACTCTTTGACACTATAAATGGTCAATTTACGTGTGTCCGAGACAAGTTAACTTTTTACAAATGTGTTTTATCTTTACATCTTTAAGGTTTGAGACTAACTAGTCATAATTTTTTTTTCCAGAAACTATATATATGTTTATAATAGTACATCTGGTCACCAAGAGTTTCAACCCTCCCAGTGCGGCATCTCGTACTGTCCCCCCCCGCGCTCTCTGGTCCTCTTTTTTACCCCATTTTTTTTAATTAATTCTAATTTTTTTTTTTAGTATTAAACTTTCCTAATAAACTAAGCTTTTCATTATACTACGTCATGTCATGACTAATGCAGACCAAGAGACACAAAGTATTTCGAGCCCGAGACACACACACACACACACTTGCTCGGTAAAACAGACCCCGCGCTCGCTCTCTCTCGCGGTGGCCATGGCCTCTAGCAACCAACAATCGCAGGCCACGTCGCTCGAATGCGATTGCCTATATTCTCAAAAAAGTTGTTGTTTCACTCCTCTCATAGGAGAGGACAGTCTGACTCTCGGAGTAACTTGATTTCCTGAGAGTCACAATAGGAGTCACCCAGAGTTTTGCAAAACCAGTGTAATTCCATTTGTTTAATAAAGCTCCGTGTGGCAAATATACTAGTAAAATCAATATTTTTTTATTCTTTTATTTACTTTTTGTCCATACTTTATGATATCCTGTCATTTTTGTTCTTATTTCAAAAATTTCCATTTCCCATTAACATTTTATAGGTATTATTTCTTTTTCAGTTAGACAAATGTCAAGACAAAAGTTTACCCACACTCTCTACATAAGGAATCTAGAGAATTAAAACGAGAGTTTCACCGTGGTCTAACTACGAAAATGAGAGTTATAAATTTGTTTATTTAGAATGACCCCCTCGAACGGGGCCTGGGGGATACACTCCAGTGTTGTGTGTTGGATATTTTTTATCGTGAAATGGCGACGAATGTGGATATAAGGCACTTCCGACTAATAGCT